GTGAAGGGCTTTGTAGCCTTCTTTAATCCATATCTGCCTTCAGTTATGCTTAATGATGCTTGTATGTTTTCCAATTTACCAAAAATATATAATTTCATACATGACTATTATACTTCTTCCAAATTTTTAATCTGTATTTCTTATTCTTTTAATAGTTGTGCGACAGAGAAGGGAAGCAGATGCTGCTTTGTTTTCAGAACTCTACAGAAAACTGGGTTCACAGGTAGTGTTATAAATGTCTAAAGAGTAAAGAAACTGAAAACACACATATGCACATTTCTGACTTCATAGAGTTCTTTTGGAGAGCCCTTGGGTCATTACCAATATTTTTACTGAGGGGGTGATTGGATGCTGGAACAGGTTTCCCAGGAAAGTTGTGGAGCCTCCATCCTTTGGAGACTGTCAAAACCTGACTGGGCACCCTGCTGTAGATGATTCTGCTTTGAGCAGAGTGGTTGGACTAGGAGATCCTTAGAGGTGCCTTCCAAGCTCAATCTTTTTGCAAATCTTTTGAAAGAGTTTACAAATTACTTTTTTATTCCTCTGAGGTATCTGCTATAAATGAGAAATTAATTTGGATTTAATTGTAAATCAAAAGATAGTAAAGGATACATTTTCAGTTTGAGCTTCGTTCTGAAGGAACTCTAAAAATAGAAGTGTTCATTTGATATGTAAAACTGATGATTTTTCTCATAATTTTACAGTAGTGCCTTGCAAGTGTATTGTTTATTAATCTAGGGTTCAAACAGTTCTCCTGCTTCTTACTTTAAGTACTCCAAGTCTTTAATGTTGAAGGTTAAAGAAATCAAAGAATACTGTAGGTTGATGTTCTGACAAAAGATGTTCATGTGTAGAAAACCCACAATGCAGGAAGATAAATCAGGTGAAAGGGGGAAAAGGTTGCAAGGGTAGAAACTTAGCTGAGGTAGGTGAAAAATGACTGCTGCTAATCTGTTCTGGATTCTCCATAAAAATGAGTACAGCGTATGGTAGGCAATAATAAAACAAGATTCCTAGTTGCTAATCTGTTCTGGATTCTCCATAAAATTATTTATCAAGGCAGGGTATGGTAGGCAATAATAAAACAAGATTCCTAGTTATCATTGGCACATACCTGATTTTTGACAACAAAAACTAGTTAGTGTAAAAGGGGATGTTTTCTGCATAACAAAATTTACCCTTACTTTGCCCATTGTGTTAAGGAGAAATGTTTTTCTCTCTTCTGTTTTTTATTCATTCATTTATGTATAGGTCATGTCTGAGTTTTACAAGGTTGTACTAAGGTTTTAAGACTACAAAACAGTGATTCTGTGGAGAGTGACTAGTGAGGGCTCCTCCCCTCATCTGTACTTAGTTTGTTAGAGCTTGGAGCTAGTTTTGGTATCACTGTTTCCATTTTCCTTGCCCTGTGGGACAGCCTTATCTGGGTTTGCATCAGTTTGGTTGTTCTTCCAAATGAATACAAGCTTACATCAGCTATCTCCTCATATTTTGCTGCCTGCTGTTTGAGGTTCTGTTACCATTTTGTCTTTTTTTTTTTCTGTGCTAGAATCTTGTATACATGAAATGGTATCCTCTGAATACTGCCTTCTTTAAAATTCACTCTGCCAATTATTACCCAGTGTGCTGTTAGTTTTATTGCTAATGGTGGGCAAGCATTTCTTTTCCTCATGAGCTTAAGGAAGGACACCAGAATGTTCAATGAATCAATGAGGCTTTTTGTTCCTCCAGCAATTCTCTTAAAGGCAGCAAGGACAAAGAAAAAAAAGCTTGTGTGAATCTGTTTTAACTTCATTTCATCCATTGCTCTGAGAGGAAAGGAGGTCAGTGCTTATTTCAGTGGCAGCTTGCCAGTGGCAACAAACCATGGTTCTTGAGGCACTTGGACTGTCCTTTTTTTGAATGTTGCTGCTCATTCTCCACCAGTTGTTAATGAGTTGCTGGATTAGTTATTTTCAACAGATGCAATACCTCTGCTTCTTGCTGAGATCAAAGCAGAAGTTAATAGACTTTTACTCTGTTATAGTATAGAATATCTCCATTGTAGAACTTTGGGGTATGCTTGGTTAGTGTGCTCTGTCCACCTACACACAAAATGCATAATTTGCAGAGAAAAGGGAAAAACAGAAAAAGATGAGGATGAGAATGTTTTAAAAAAAGTAAATAAAAAATTTCCAAGTGACCCTGAAAGTGCTTGTTACAAGACTGATAGAATTGAATTATATTGCTTCATAAGGGATGGAATCTGTGTTGAATCTGGGTATGGCTAAAGCTTCCTTTAGCCTCACCATGGCATAGTGTTCCACACCATAGCCTGGGCAGTGTTGTGAGGGAACTTCTATGAGTTTCTTTGACTTAGTCCACTACTTAATGCCCATTACAAGGTTCTGTGTCCCTGATCAATTCAGGTGCAAGCATTAGTGTCAGAGAATTATACAGTAGCAGATCTAGAAAGACAGCATATCTAAAATAAAACATTGTAGTATTTTCCTTGACTCTTCAAGGTTTTCTTTTTGTAGCTTGGGCCTTAATATTGTTCTGCCTGCTGCTGGTAAGCTTGCTGCTGAGACCTAAAGCTGCTGAGAGAGTTATTCTATATTATGTATGTATCTGTCTGTTTGCTAGAGACCACAGTGCATGTTCCTCCTGTTTCATGTTATCAATCTCTAACTGAAGCTGTGAAAATTTTGGTATCTCTTAAATGGCATTTAAAGTAATAGAATTGAAGCCCCCTTGTTGTAAAGGAGAGGGAAAGGGAAAGTTAAGAAAAGACAGCTCTCTGCTTAACATTGCACCAAGAGTTTTCCTTCACCTTTGGGTCAGAGTAGCATCTGCATCTGAGATGTTTTTAATTGTGAGAGTGTGTGGGAATGCTGGTAATAGTTAACTCTGCATAGACCTCTTTCTTAGTAGCTGTGAATTGAAAATTGAGTGTACTTGCTGGTCTCAGGGCAGATGAGAATTCATTCTTGGAACACAGTCATAAAATGAGCAGTACAGAGGCCACACTGCCCATTTCCAGTTTACTCCAGAACGTGGCTCTGAGTTGGTCTTATTCATGTGGAAAACAGATTTATATTTGTACATGTTTGTGGGCTGGATAATTTTTTAAAAATGCATTATCAAGAGTTAAACCAAACTCATTCCTGTTTGTTTTCATCTTTTTTTCTTAAAGGGCATTTTGAAAAACAAATGGTCAATACTCTACCTCCTGCTTAGCCTTAGTGAGGATCCACGTAAGCAGTCTAACAAGGTATGTGAGGAGACCTTTGTTGCTTCTGAGAAACACTAAATCTGTGTCACTTGTTTTAGATGTCAGGAATCATTATCCAGACTTACCCAACACCTCAAGTTGTGTGGGTGTGAGGCTGAAAGGAAGAACACATTTGATACAGCTATCTGTAGTTCTTTTGGGTGTAATTTTTCTATACTAAATAAATGTAAAAATACAAGCTGTAGCTGAAGTTGTGACTTTATTAGCTGGGTGGTGGTGGGGAGGGGTTTGCTGTGTTTGGTGCTGTAGTGACAGCACTTCCTGACAGTGCTAATCAGTTTGAAATGGAGTAGGGGGAGCAAAATTCCTCCTTTCATTTCAGCTCTGCTAGTACCAAAGTGCTTTTTGCAGCTATTGATGGTGATAGTTGGCAGGCAAAGAAAAAAGCTGAATTTCTAGAAGTACTTCCCTTGGTGTAAGGGACTTGTTTTATACTTACTATAATTGTAACTAATTTTTTTGTGTGTGTAAACATGGTCTTCAGTCACTTGTTTATATTCTTGACTATTTTACTCCTCTTTCACTAAAGACATGACCCAACACAACTCAAACTTCCTCCTCCCTTTTCAACTCCTTTCCCTTTCAGGTTTCAAGTTATGCCACACTCTTTGCTCAGGCCTTGCCACGGGATGCTCACTCCACCCCTTACTACTATGCCAGGCCTCAGAGCCTCCCCTTGAACTACCAGGAGCGCAGTGCTCAGTCTGCCCAGAGCTCTGCCAGCATGGGGAGCAGTGGGATCAGCAGCATCAGCCTCTATGCCCTGAATGGCCCAACGCCAACTCCACAGTCACTCCTGCCAGGGTAAACTGATGATCTGCTTTTTTTCCTTCTTCTTTTTCTTCCCCACACCCTCCTTGTTTGTATGCCATGGGAAATTCCACTGTAGGTGTGTAGACACTGAGCTCCTTAGCTGAACAGCTCTGAGTATCAGGTGCTGTCATATGACCCTATGAAGCCAAAAATGGCTGGCCAAGTGTATCCCTTCTTAAACTTAATCTGGTATTTTATTGGATCCATTCCTTTGGTTTCTAGTGTCAAGTCCTTTTGCAAACTTCTCAGTTATCTGCAATCCTTTCAAATGGTGAGGGGAAAAAGCTTTCTGTTGCAGTTAGGTGAGGTGTGTGTTAGGGGGCAGGGGGAGTGTTGTAGAACACTGAAATGGGTTGCCCAGAGGACTTGAAAATACTCAAAACATGACTGGACAATGCACCAGGTAACCTCTAGTTGACTCTGCTTTGAGCAGGAGGGTTAAAGGAGGTGATCTCCAGAGACCCCTTCCAACTTCAAGCATTATATATTCCTAATACAGACTAGAGAACTATGTCAGTGAGGTTGTTTTGTCTATCTGCTTGCTTCAAAACATCAGTAGAACCTCCCTTACTCATGACATAGTCTTGCTCTGAGCTGTTCAGGCTGTTCCACTTCACAGCAGTTTCATTGCTCTCTCTTTAGTCCTGTAGTCTGTGAGCTGGGCAACCCAAATTAGATCTTTCTGTGAGCTGCTTTCCTCCTGAACCCCTCTTTACCAGTTTCCCTTCCTTTCTAGAGCATGTTGTTCTTGAAGGGTATCAGCCTAAATACTCTACTCGAGGCATTACAAGTGCTAAGCACAACAGACCTGCTCTGTTTTGCCAGCCATGAGGAAGGGTGTTCCTCAACATTTTTTCACAAGAATATTTATGTTGCAGCCTTGTTCCATCTGTGCCTTCAACTTCTTCCACAGCTTTATGGAATTAGCTTATTTTTTTAAGAAAATGTGTGTATTTGCAATGTTTACTTGGGGGGGGGAGAAAGGTCAGCAGCAAAGATGCCTTACAAATATTTTCAGCTTTATTTTTCATCATCATGGTACAGAAATAATCAGAAAGTGAACTTCTAGTCTTAATGTTTTTCATGTTTAAGACTGTTTTTATGAGAAGAATTGGTAAGTTTGAGAGGGAGGGAAATTGGGGCTTGTCTAGATGCTCCCTCCTGGATGATACATTCAGCATTGGATACAAGTTACCCCAAACAGTAGAGTAGCAGGAAAGGGAACTTCCTTTCTCTAGTTTCCTTTAGTTCTTTGGAATGTAACTACAGCTTCAAGTAACAACAAAACTGAAATATATGTTATTTATTGTGACTTGTTTATTATGGTTGACTTCACTTTTAATCTATTTCAGTAGATCTACACAGTTCAGTGTGAACAAAATCAATCTTTGATGTGAAATCTACAGTTTGGGTTTATTTTAAAAAACAGATTTTGAAAAATTTTTAGGTTTGTAGGAAGCAATAAATTGCTTGCATGCTCTGCACCCTTTTAAAGTTTCTTTTCTTAAGAAAACTCAAACCAACCAACCGAATAAATAAATCCCAGCCAAATAAATAAAACTCAACCAAATAAATATAAACCCACCCAAACAAAACAGCTGCAAAAAATACAAACTCAGGCTTGGGGGGTTTTTAAACATCTTCATACCCCAAAAGAGGTGAGGGGTACAGAATCAGAAGGTTTTGAAGCTGTTTCTCCTTGTCCTTTCAGACAATCCTACCAGGCTGCGGGCGTCGGCGATTGCCTCCGGCAGCAGCTGGGCTCACGGCTCGCCTGGACTCTCACTGCAAACCAGCCTTCTTTACAAAGCACTACCTCAAAAGGCTTTTCCAATGCTGTGTCCCGGGGCGTGCCGAGGTCAAGGAGAGAAGGGGATACAAGTGGTGAGCAAAGATGGATTGGAAAAAGATATCCCTTTCCAATTGTTATCTATATTCTCTGTGATTTATTAATTCCTTTGAAACAGCTTCGTCACGTCTTGAATTTTTTGAGGAGTGTTTTGGTGGAATGTAGTCAATAGAAGGACAGAAGCAAATATGCCAGACTAGTGTATTGGCTCACAGTCTCTTTGGCTGGTTGTTTTATTTTTGCAGTGATTGATAATATATTCTGGACTTCTTAAAAGACTGACTTCATTGCAGTGTTTGTCAGAATCGAGTGATCGTGGTTTGAGAGTCATCATCACTCGTGATCAAAAGGTGATGCTGCTTTTAGGAAGCTGGAGAGAGAGCTCAAGGAATAGAACTTGTTGAAATACTCATCCATTTGGCACTCTGGCTTTTAAAACTTGGAAATGTGCACTGGAATATAGAGCTCTTAAAACTGTTTTTCTTTAAATTGGCACACTCTTTACAGTGGTTGATTTTGAGCAATTGGCATAAAATATTGTCAATAAATGGGGAAAAAAAAAGATAATATTACTAATTTATTTCCTTGAATAAGTGGCTGTAAACTTCAAACTGTTGCCTAGAAGATCTATTTGGAATTTACACAAGTGCAACTAAGAAGAAATTGTTTAACAGATGGTCTTTGTGGCAGTTGTGTAAGTTTAAACCCACTCTACTTTTACTGTGAAAGTGGGAGACTTTCTGAATAAGAGAGCTAATGGCAGATATTATTATCATCATCCAGTGCCTGCTATTCTGGCAAGGAAAGATAAAAAATGTGGGTTTTTTATATTTCCTTGGTTTTTTTAATAACCCCTGTATAAAGAAGTGGAGATAGTTAGGAGCTAAAATGTACATCTGGCAAGGAAAGATAAAAAATGTGGGATTTTTATATTTCCTTGGGTTTTTTAATAACTCCAGTATAAAGAAGTGGGTATAATTAGGAGCTAAAATGTACTCTCTCTGCCAGCCCCTGCATCTGAGTAACAGCACACAAAGCAACAGCTTATAGACCAGAGTGAAACTGGGATATGTGATGGTATTTATTAATATTATTAATTATATTATGTAAATATATATTATTGTTATAGATAGATGTAATATATATAGGAAAAAAATAAAATGTAGCACTGTCTGTTAATTTTTCTTGTACTAATTGCCATAAAGAGCAGTGCAAACCTGTTGTGTTCAGCCAGCCAGCAGCTGTGACTCTTGATTCTCAGGTGAGATGGCTGAAGGCCTCAGTTGTCTTAAACAGTCACTTGTTGATGTAGGAATTGAAGTAGGACTGCATTCAAAATATAAAAGGCTATTGTAAAGAAGATATATTTTTGTGAATTATGAAATTCTTCTTGTTAAAAGGCTGAGGTTTTCCTACAGTTTGTTGCTGTTAACTGGTGTTTCCTTATTGCTACACCAGCAAAGACAGCTTAATCAGGAGCCTTGCATGGTTAATACAATATATCTGTTGTATTATTTACCACTTCAAGAAACATGCACTTAAATCTTTTACCATTTCACTAAATGTTCCTAAAAGAGACTAGCTACTCTTGTGCACACTGACTATTAGGAGGGGAGACTGAGTTTTAAACAGCATCTTGAGGTGACAGCTGCTTTGGCCAAAATAAGAATAGAATTTGGGGTTTTGTTGTTTTTATTCTGGGAAAGTGGCTTGTTGGAGAGGCAGACTGATGAGTTTAAGAATGCTTTGAAATTTGGGAGAAGTGTGTTGCAGTGATGCCATTTCTGGATAGTTGTTGTTGAAATTGTTTTGGCTTTGGTATCTTAAATTGTTGCAAGAGCAGATGATGCTCCCAGAAGAGGTGGGTGTAGCTGCAGTGGCCTGCACAGCACTTTTTCAATCTTCAGTTTTATTTAAATCAATAAATAGCCAAAATCTCAAACAATCTACCATCGAACTAGCGATAGGAGCCAGAAGCAAACTTTGTGCTGCAATAGCAAAATCTTTAATCCAAGTTATATCTGTCTTCAGAAACAATATTTACACATCTGTGTGCCAGCTCTATAGCTCCTCTGCAGCTGGCAATCTGGTTTGGATCAATCATTTCACTGAGCAGTGGCACGTGTGACTGCAAGCCAATATTCAACAAGCAGCTCTTGCTTCTGGGTTAACTCCTTTGTTTTCCTGAATGTAGAAGAGATTATTCCAAGTCCCCTTTAACAACTGCAACTGTTTGATCAAAGACAGCTAAATTTTCTATGCTGCTTGACTGAGGACTTGCACTGGTGATTGTCTTGGCAGAGATAACACGTGTGAGGACTGTCTGAAGTGTTGGTAAAAATATAACAAGCCCTGTGTCATACAAGGTGACCTGCTCTGAGAGGATCCCAAGTATCTGTAGTGACAGGTAGAGGGAATTCTTGGCCTTCCTGAGAGGTTAAGAGGACTTAAAACATGTATTTATAACCTGTAAATAAAGGCTTTCTCTCTTTTTTTTTTTTTGCTAGATGTCTAAATAGCTTTTTGAATTTGTAATCAAAACTAATTGTCCCAACAAATCTAAATGCTGTTTGTTTGGTTTTTTTTCTTTCTAGGGTCTGTGGAAATAACTGAAGCAAACCTTGTAAGAGATGTTCTGTATGTCTTCCAGGGAATAGATGGCAAAAACATCAAAATGTGCAACTCTGAAAATTGCTATAAAGTGGAGGGAAAGGTACTGGGTGGTGACTTGTATTTCATGTGTGAGCAGAGAGGGGTATAGGGGAAAACAGCCATGAAAAATGTTAGAGTTAAAATGTTCTCACAAGTCTTGACTCACTCCCCCAGCATTTTTTTTCTTAAGTACAACAGAATAGTTTCAACAATACTAAACTGGGTAAATTAGGTCCCAGAAAGAAAGTGCAGCATTTCACAAGATGTGAATATACTCCCAGCTATTAAACCAGTACAAAGATGTATGTTATGGCTTAATTCAGCATTTTTGTCATCTTTTCCCCTCCCTAGTGTACAGCTTTGGGAGCTGTTGAGAGGGTGAGATTAGATCAGCTGAGCAATAACCAAAAAAATGGCACTAGTTGCTTTAACATCTCCTCAGTAAATTCACTATTTGGGCAGTACTGCATCACAGTCCAATCTCAGCTCACTAATTGACTTTTCATGTTCTTGGTCAAATGAAAAGACAGCTACTTCCATTTTTCACTTGTAATAAGAACTTTGTGCTATGACAACATGACATTAATGTCATTTTGGACATATGTCAAATGGACATAAATGTCCTAAAATGGTGGAGAATTAATTTTGGGCCATTTCATGACTTGTCTTGCTGCTGACAATAGCTGAACTAATTTCCCTTTCACTTTTTGCCATTATTATGGAGGAGAAATGTATAATTTTTCCCCCATTACTTTCTGATTACATTTAGGGCTGCTTAGTGGAGGGAAAAATGGAAAGTTTAAATCTTGTTAAATCAGTTAAATATTGTGAACAAACAGATTCTTAAGGATGACATCTTCTCTACCTGTAGATGCTGCAAGGTTTATAATTTATCAACACCTGCACTGAGTTAATTATGTTCCATATATAAGTTAGATTATATATAGCAAAGGAAAGGGAGCATAATAGATATTTCTAGAGGAATGTGGAGAAAACTTGATGATTGCAAAATGGGCACTGTGGGTTTCATTAGTTTTCTGTGTAGCTTTCACATCAAATAGGCTAGTTGGAGGTGAAAAACTGTTTTAGTTTGAATTCCTAATTCTGTTAATAGTTTGAGTATTCAGATGGTTTGTAATCAATAATGCTTTTTCCTGAGAACTCTGCCTTTGGTTATTTTTATGAAGTCAATTCAATTGTCTTCCATCCTTCCTTGTTGCCACTTATACTGAGCTACTGAACCCAGCTACTGAACCAAAGATGCAATTTTTTGACTGACTAGAGCTGCAGCTGGAACTTTGATGATCAAGGAGGACCAAGCTCATACCTCCTTTAGCTGTGTTGACTGGATTTTAGGCAAAATAGTAGTCAAAGCATGGAGGTTTCCCTCAGCTGCACAAAGAAAACATCCTTGTCTGTGTTTTTCCAGAAAGAAACACACTTCCCAAGCTGTTGTGGCTGCCTAAGTGTTTTCTAATGTCAGTGTTAATATTAGGTCTGTTGGTGACATTCAGCACTAGATACAAATGTAATAACACTAAGCCAATTTTGCTGGTTCCTCATTTGATTCCAGAGGATGTGTATTGTGCTTAATGCCTGCCAAGTGCTCTGCAGTTGCAGAATTTGAAATAATTCTTATATAATCTCTTTGGGTTTAGCTGCAGGCAGAGTTTCTGTGTCCAGTTATGCTTGTTTGAGCTAAAATTTATCCTACAGAAGTTGTTCAAGAAGTTAAAGCTGTGCCTCTACAGCTAAACAGGAGGGCCAGGGACTTAATTTCTTCTCTTGCCACCAAATACTAGCCCAGGCTTCTGTGGCCAACACACTGTAGCAGATTATCCTGCAGAATGCCTGTACTGCTAACTAAAAGGCTCAATGAATGAGCTTAATTTTTAGTTTTCTGGCAATCTGTTTAGCTTGCAGTGTACTTCCTTGCTTGGATTTAGACTATCCCAACTAGCTCTTCAAGTTAAAATTGTCTCTTTTGCTGTGGGCAAAAGTCAATCTCTGCCTCTTGGCCTAATGGATCAGTCACATTGTTGTTTGGGTATTTTTTATCCAATAAAATTCTAAAAACTTGATGATGGTGTTCTTGGGTAATGTGGCAAAGTATAATAGAGGTGAACCTCAAGTTAGGAACAAGAGCAACAGTGTCATGTGTTGGTGATTTAAAGGAGGAAAATGTGCTGATTCAGATGAAAACAGGAGTAATTAAATAGTGTGCTGGGACTGAGGTAGGCTTGCAAGGTGAAGGGAGATACCTGGTATAGGAAAAGCAGAAACAGCCTAGAAGAGCTCAGAGGGGGACATGATGAAATAGTTCATAGAAGGTTTTACTGGTAGATCTGACTTTAAACTTGGAATTTGAATTCTGTAAGTTTTGATTCCTGATATGTAGGTCTTGGATCATTTGTCTTCCATTAAAGGTTTGTTTTGCATGTAACTAATTATTTTCTCTAGGTTTCTTTATTAGTTTCTGTTGTCTCCTCTTCTAGAGCTCAATATCAGGATAACATGAATTGTGATTCTACAGCATAAGATTTCAGATTTCTTCCTCTTTTCTGAAGAATTTTCTTACTGCCATGATTGCCTAATGTAAAAAGAATACTATTCTATTAAGATTTCCAAAAGGGAAAGTCACAAAGTTGCCAGTAGTTTGTTGATGCACAATGTTTAGGTGTAAATTTAATACTAATTACATGGTTGTCTGCTTTTTTTGGCACTGTAGGGTGTAAAATAGTTTCCTGAACTTCCTTGTTTTTTGAGAGAGGGGCTTTTGTGAAGAAACAGGTATTGGTAAATTTAACTTAATTGAAATTGTTTCTGTTAACTTTGAAGATTTCCAAAAGGGAAGGTCACAAAGTTGCCAGTAGTTTGTTGATGCACAATGTTTAGGTGTAAATTTAATACTAATTACATGGTTGTCTGCTTTTTTTGGCACTGTAGGGTGTAAAATAGTTTCCTGAACTTCCTTGTTTTTTGAGAGAGGGGCTTTTGTGAAGAAACAGGTATTGACATGGTAAATTTGACTTAATTGAAATTGTTTCTCTTAACTTTGTAGGTGAGCTTGTCCAAATCTCTCAGAGATACTACAAGTAGACTTGCAGAGTTGGGATGGCTACATAATAAAATAAGAAAATACACAGACCAGAGGAGTTTGGATCGTGCATTTGGACTTGTGGGGCAGGTAGGTCACCTAAAAAAAATTGATTTTCCTACAGTATTTTGGTTTTGTTTCCTTTAGAATCTATGGAGTAAATGTGGAACTAGAATGATGCAGAAGTTTGTCACTTGAATCATTCATCCTTTGATTTTCTGCTTTTATGGAGTGCTGCTTTTGGTATGGGTCATAATCTGAAGGCAAGGGAAAGGCATTTGCTCTTGCTGGTCTTAAGAAGGGGTTGCCCCTCTCATTTGTAGCTGGAATGTCTCATGCATAGATTACTTTTTTTAATCTTTTTTAAAAATTCACATTTTTTTTAAGTACTCACACGTTTATGAACAAAAACATTGCCCAAATGGGATGGTGGCACCCCTGGGCTGATGAATCACCAATTCAGTTGTCAGTGACCTATGCAGGAGACACTCTTGTCAGCTAATGTTGATGCTCATGTGTTAATACTGCAGTAACTTACATAAAATGCAAATCCCCTATTATCTTCTGCCCTTTCTTTTGAATACAGCATCCAAAGAATATTAATTTTTGTTTTTATAGGTTTCATCAGCATGATTTGTAGTCTACAGTAACTTCACAGCTGCTGTAATAACCAAAACCACATTCACTGCTAAGGCATTCTCGTTTCCTCTCACTTGCTCCCTCTCTAAAACTGGATATTATCCCTTCTGAGTGGACAGAAATGTTATCCTTGCCTCTAGCCATAACATTCTACCTAATCTGCCAAGAAATTGAAGTGCTTCTCCCTTCAATCTAAATTTTCTTAAGAGGTCAGTAGAGACACTGTAGTGCTTCCTACTTTTCTAATGTTTTATTCTGTTCCATTCTGTTCTTATTCTAAGTAACCCTTTCAGTTACCTATAAATCATTATCTTTCTACTGATCCAGTCCATGTTTTATATGGTAGAGCTACTGTATATGCATTTTCTCCAGACTCTCCCCCTTAGATTTGGGTGAATTTTCTTATTCTTTATCTAACAGCTTCCTGCTTATGCTTATTTTTACTGTCTCTGGCTTTAATCTTCAAATTTACAGGAAGGGGAGAACTTTGAATTCTTCACTGAAATAAAATGTGCAGTGTCTTAGCTACCACAGGCAGGTTTCAGATCCTGTGCAGAAGGCTGTGCAGTTAGCTACCCAAGTCTGCATAGCTCCAGTGCTGTTCATTTTGCTTGAGGCAAGCAGTTATGTGTATTTCTAGGACATAAGTGTACAAAGAAAAACACACATTCCACTCCTGCTGTCAGTATCTGGGTAAAATGAGTGTATACCATTGCTTTTCATGGCTTTTGGAGCTGTCCATTTCAGGTGCTGCACACTGCCTTAAGAATTTAGCACAATATTGTGCATTCTAAAGCATCTTTTGCTTTTAAGACAAGAATTTTGGTGTAAACCCCTCTTTAAACCACATGGAGGAAAAGATGTCTGTCACCTCTTTTGTTATGGTTCTGGTGACTTTTTACCATGCAAAATATCAGGTATTGACTGTTACAAGGAGTGGAGACACTACAACACACTACACCTTAACAGTCTGTTCTTCTACTGCTTAGTATCTAAGCTCTACTCTGTCCTCAGAAAGCCAAAATAACTGACAATGAAATATAACATAACATGCATTATGTTTTGTCATTTTTGCCCATTTAGATCCAGTTGAGGGAGTGGGCATTTTAATTTTTTTCTCTTAAACAAGCATTCTGTTTCCTTCCTGAATTCTCTTTTGCCATAGGCCAAATCAGAATTCTAGGATAATGTCCAGTTTTCCCTAACAGTTTGGGAAACAGAAAAAAAAGTCTGTGGTTTGTGATGCAGGAACTGGCACTGGATGGAAATTTTAATTTCTGAAGCTTCTATGAAAAATTGGTGGCCAATTAGATCCAAAATCCTTTTGGCTTCTAAAGTCAGTGATGACTCTCTTCTTACTTCTTGAGTAGATGTATAGTACCTTTGGATGTTTTCTTGGAGGCTCTTCTCTGCCCTCTGTCTTGACAAGTGCTACTTTAATAGGTTCAAAATTGTACTGGAGAAGCAAGTGAGAAGAAATTAAAAGTGGAGTTACTTATAAGGGGATTTCTTTTTGCCCTTCAGCATCCTCTGGAATAAAATCCATTTCAAATTTCTTTCCAATTCATAATGTTGAGTTGAAGGAACCTTCTTATGAAGTATACAATGGCAAGATTAATGATTTCTTCTTTTCTAGGCTTCTTAGCCTCTTAGGAGGAAAGAAGATTTATTTTCTCAAGATTGTGCTTGTAGTAATGATTTCTCCCTCATACATGCTCTAATGGATGAATATTTTACTTTAACCTCTTACGTTCTTTTTCTGAGGTTTTTCTCTTATTTTTTCCAAGCTACTTTGACTGTGATGATTTTAAAAAGGGGTTGAGGGGAAAGTCTTGCAGAATTTCCTATTTAAAAAAAAAAAAAGTCCTTTAAAACAGGTACCAAAATTATTAGCTGAGAATGGGTTATGAAATCAGCTATGAAGGTTAAGAACATTACAAAACCCCAGGACCCCAAACTGTGGTAGACTACCCATTACTCAACATTTATTCTTTCAGGAGTTGTCTTTTAAATCTACCATTATTTCCTTTTAAACAACCCAAAATAGTGCTTAGAATTGTTTTACAAAGAAAAAAAAAGTTTACTTCTGCACGTTTTAAAAATTTCTTAGGATATACTTAGTGTTATTTCTTCCATGTCAATCATATGACTGTCAATTGATAAAAGGCCAAAAATTTAGAGTACTTATCTCAACAACACTTAAAGGGAATATCCTTTTATAAGCACTGTGTTTTCTTGTTCATGTCATATTGTCTCTACTGTAAATATCAGGGTTGCCTCAATTCTGTGTTCTTCCTGAAATTGAAACTCTGACTTTACAACATACTGAATTTTACAGAAGTATTAAAGAAAATTTCCTCTGGGTCATGTTACCATTTGCACATCCCTGTGGTGGTAATTAATGTCTTCATTGAGGTGATTATCTATTTGGAGATTCATCTATTTTAGATCTCCTAAAATTTGTAGCTTGATTCCTTTTAGGAAGTGTCTTAACTACCTTCACAGTTTGATGATAGGATAAAAATTATTCTAGATTAAACCAGAAAGATTTTTTTCCTGATTCTTTTTTTCCTTTCTTTTTTTCTCCTCTTTGTCTTACAGAGTTTTTGTGCAGCCTTACATCAGGAACTTAAAGAATATTATCGACTTCTCTCTGTTTTACATTCTCAGGTGAGTTAAGTGGTTCTTACTTAAATTTCTTATTGTGCTTGACATTATCTGAATATCTCCTGAAAGGGTATACCTAGGAATCCTGTTAGGATGCACAGCAGCTCCTATTGACAGTGGGCACAGTTATCTAACTAGTACACTGCTTACTCTTTGGATTTATGTGCCAAGGAATGTTTTTCTCTTAGAAATTCACTGTTATTTCATGTATTACATAAGGAAGGAATATAATGTGTATATACATGCCTCTGTCCCTTTGGCATCCTTTCAATCAGTTTCTTCTTGCCCAATGTCTCTATCATTCAAATGCCAAACAGCATGACACATATTTGAAGGGAAAAGAATAAATTTGTATTTCAATCAGTGCATAGTTCAGCAGCTAGTAACAACACTGCCAACTTTTTGTTCTCTTTGGGAGAGTTTGTGCATTTTCCTTGTCCTTTCTGTTGTATTGAGAGAGTAAAATGTTTCAGTGTTTCATTATCTTCTGTTTTGTCTAGACCAACTTAGTGCTGCTAATGTTGCAGTTTGTGTATGTGCAACTAGATGCTAACTCTAAAATAAAAATTAGATATATTTTTTTCTTCTGCTCACTTTTTTTTTTTATATGGGACATACATTCAAGGAGTTGATTATTTGCAGTGGAGAATAACTTATTCTGGGAATTGATGTGAAGTTGTATTAAAATGCCATCTAAAATTCCAACTTCAAAAAAAGTCTATAGTTGAAGTCCTGCTGTAAATATTTTCAAAGCATTTATTCCTTTTGACTTGCCTGCAGTTTAACATCCTTGACTTTTGGAATGCCTCTCATACCTACTTTTCAATTCTTTTTCCCTGGCCATTCTGGAGTTACTCTTTGTAATGACTTTCTGCTCTGTCCAAAATATATTTGCTCTTTTGGTTTGCTGGAGCTTTGATTTACTCTAGATTGTAAAATTTCTTGACCATGAAAATATTTCATTTCTTTGAAATTCTGCCTTCCCTGCTCCACTAAACCTGTCAAAAGAAGAGATGAATCTGGTGAAGTGGAAAATGAAAGGACAGTTCTGGCATCACCTATTTTCAAACTGCATTTGCCTTTGTGCTGGGTTGACCCTGGTGAGCAGCCAGACACCCACCCACCCTCTCACTCACCCCTGTCTCTTGAGGAATGGAGAGAAAAATAGAAGAAAGGCAAAAAGACAAGTCAGTCAAGTTAGTGACAGTTTAATAGGGAAAGCAGAAGCTGTGGGTGCATGCAAAGGAGAGTAAGGAGTTCATTCACTGCATCCCATCAACAGTCAGATATCCAAGCAGACCCTCAGCACCCTGAACACTTGCTTGGGTAGACAAACTCCTGTCACACCAAATGCCACCCCCTCCTCCCTTCCCCCTTTGCTGGGAAATGGTTTCCAGGATTAATTGCTCTGCAGACATCCCAGGGGATGGGGTGAGTCTCACCAGTGTGTAGTTCTGCAGATTCCCCTTCCTGAAGAGAGGGGTAACAACTTGCTTTCTCCTGCTTGTCAGTGCTTCCTCTGATTGCCAGGACATTGCAAAGATAATTGTGGGTGGCCTTGCAGTGACACTGGCCACCCCCTCAGCACTCATGGGTGCATCCCATCAGGTCTCATACACTTGGGTATATCCAGTTTGTTTAATGTTCCCTATCCTGATCCTTCTCCACTTGGACTAAGTCTCCCTTGTTCCAGACTTCTCTGATCTCAGGTGACATCTGCTATTCCCAGTGGCAAATCTTGCCAAAAAACCCAAGGCATAGAAGGCATTGTTGTTTTTTTCTGTTCCTTGCCATATTCACCTGCAGTGTTAGAGTTCATGAGTGTTTTGAGCACATCAGTTAAATCCATTCTGGTGAGGAACAATCTGTAATGGAAAGCTCTGCTGCATGAGCAGAGTGGTGTTTCTGGGGAAACCCTTGACTGAAGGGGATCCCAGAGGCACATTATGCTTGGATTTTTGAGAAGCCCCCAAGCAAGATTCCTCCCCAAAGGCTGTGGATTAAAAAAAGGAGAGATTCTTTTGTGATGTGAAGGCTGGGAAGCACAAGGTCACACTGCAGGATGGAGTGGGGTCAGTAGTGTGCACCAGAGGTAGCTGCTGGCCCTGTTTTTAGTGGATGTTGCTGATCTGGAGGTGGTAAGGCAGAGTGAAATCTAGTCTGTGAATGAAAGCTGGCTAATATTGGTAGTCTGGGTGCTCTGTGTGTGGCAAGGAGCATCATGAGTTCAGGTGTAGTAAGTAGCAAGGAGAATCTCATCAAAGGTTCTGTACTGTCTGTAACTCTGTATTATGTCTTCAGAGCTTCCCTCAAGCATTTTTCTGCCTCTGAAAGAGTCATCCTGAGTGTACTTAGCACATACTATTTGATAAGCTCTTCCTGTCTTCCTTGCAGGCTGTTTTCATGTTGTCAGTCCATTTAAAAGCTTACTTCCATGGTGTAGATACAAGTGGATCATCCCTTCCATGAAGACAAAGGGCAGTTCTTGCTCATGTATCTCTTTATCATCACCAGCTTCCAGACAAAACAAAATCAAAATGGACCCAGGAGCTTTTTTCTGTATTCCTAGTTTGTCTTCTTGTCCTGCTTGTCCTTCCAACTTGAACTTCCAACTTGTGTTGGAAGATTCATGGTAGGGACATTGTGGCAGATTTTTCTTATTGTAGCTTTTAATGTTTTTATCAGTGGTAGCAATTCCTGAATTTCACTGCCTAGGTAACCTAAGTTCTCATGGCTTCTGGAGGAAGACATGGAACAGAATTTGTTCCATGTTGAACTAAAATCAAATTTTACCTCCTACACACTTCCTTTCATTTAGATGTTTTTCTGTACTCTTTCCTGAACATCTCTTTGGCCAATATCTGCTGTCTTTCATGATCACTGCTTTTTACCTCTGCTCAACTCTCCTTTTGTGACTGTCTGTCACTGTGAATTTACTAGTTTTTACTAGTTTTGTTCCTTGATATGTCTTTCTGTTTCTAATTTTATCAGTTGCAATTGGAAGATGATCAGGGTGTGAATTTGGGACTTGAGAGCAGCTTAACGCTTCGTCGTCTTCTCGTCTGGACATATGATCCTAAAATAAGGTTAAAGACCCTTGCAGCACTTGTTGATCACTGTCAAGGTCTGTGTAACACAAATTTGATATTTCTGGGGAAGTTATGTGGCTTTGAGTGGTTGTGAATCATGCCAGAAGTGGATATCAGTTTAAAGTTGTTAATCCAGAGGATTCTCTCTTAGTTTAAGCCAAAAAAAATCTCATGAATTGTAGTGCTGCTTTCATACACTTGGACTTTTTTGCCTTTTTTTTT